GAGTGACAAGCGACTTTTTCAGGGATGGCAGGAAAGACTGAGCAAAATTGACATCTGTGTGTCTGTGCATATCTCCACAGCATATTCATGCATGGGTTTCAAACGGTTAGGGCACAAACCATTTATAGTTCCATCTGTACAAAACACCACTGAGATCTGGCTCACTCACTTAACCAGAGTCACATTGCAGTCAAGCAAGTCACAAATGTTTTCTTTAAAAACAAATGCACTTACATCATAAATCAACCATTTCATTACCTCTGGGGTAAAAATAATGAAAACAGCTGTCAGATGAGAATGAAATGATCTTTGGAAGTTTTCATTAACTTCACAATCATTCTTGTGTCTGAAAATAATTTTATTGCTGTTATTACAAGTAACATCCCCAGTTATTGCACCAGTAATAACTATGGTTTTATCCACTATTCTCCGTGTGTTTTTTGATCACTTTGTATATGAGGTATTACTTTATAAATTTAATCTTAAGTTCATAGAGAAAATTGGAAAGCATAGAGGCTCTGAAAATGTGAAAATGTGGTTCCAAATCAGAAAAGACTATAATAAACATCTAATTGATAGAAGCAGCAACAGTGATTTAAACCTGTTTATAAACCCATTTGAGTCTTCTTGGAACTGACACATATAGCCCATAGATGAGGACCTGTATAATAAATCATAATAGTACTGCAAACATAATTCTCGGAAGCACAAACATAATTCAAACATAATCAAATTTCAAAGCACTTTATCACTAAAATTTCACCAGACAGGATCAGATCATTATTTTGATTTTACTTAAATGCTTATCCTCAGACAGAAAAGTGGCAGAAATAAAAACCTATAAATGAAAAACCTTTTCATAAAAAACAGAAGACCTAGACGACCACAATTTCCTACAACGGAGCTCTAAAAACTAAGAGAGCTAGGCATACAAGGATACATTTTGCAGGCAACCATTTAAAACAACACAAAAAGTGTTAACATAAAAAGAGTCAATAAGCAAAGTGTCAGGATGAATTCTTCTACCTATGTCTTTGATGACAATTCTTTGTCAGTACTGTTTATTTTTATGACTTTGATGTAAATATACTTTCTACAAATAAATTTTAATTTACCACAAATTTATGTAAAACATGTCTCCAACATCATTACAGATTGCTTTTAGTGCATAAAATACTGCTATGCTGTTTAGCTAGAAAAAGGAAATTTTCTTCATGCATCACTCAATCGGTATTTCTTTTAACAGCATTTTTTTCTAAGATATACAATGTCTAAAGGGCAATTATCCTTTCCTGTTTCCTCAAAAATATATCACTGCTCATGTTGCTTCTTAAACTCTCTTTATTCCTCACATAAACATTTAAGCATGAAATGCAACACATGGATAATGGCAAATTAAGGCAAACTGAAAATCAAACTAGAGTTCTTTGGAATCCTTACGTGTAATTATGTAGGGACAGCAACAAATCTCTACAACATGAGCATAAGTGACACATTTAAATTTCCTTAGTAAATAACAGAATCTCCTGCCACAGTCTGTCTAACAGACATTTTGAAGAGTTAGACTTGCAGCTGACTGAATCATTAACCACAGTCTAAGTGGAAAAAAAGCAAAGAATTTCAGCTGAAGTCAAATATGTAATGCTTTCCCTGTGCAAGTACGTAATACATGAATGCATTCACATATTTGTGTAAGTAGGGATGTTTATGCGTATATTTTGGTGGCTGTTAGTTACACTGGCCTTTTATGACCCTTAATGGTGCCTTTTATTCACATGAAATAAACCCAAGGTTGTGCCTGATCTCAGATGAGAGTAAATGCTTTATTTTGTGTGAGGGTGGAAAAGGAGTGACACATCACTTATCATTCACCATGCAGACATTGTATTCATTAGAAGAGCCACAATCAATAAGAACCAAAGGCAATTTTTCCCTAAAGATAATTATGCCTAGCATCACTAGAGCGCTTAGGAGTCTGATAGGCTTTCATTTATTGACACAAATCACCTTTGAAAGTTTACAACTTCCTAATAAGAATTTGGCTGTACCTAAGGAGTGCTATAAAATGCTTCTGGTTTGTTTTGTTCTACAAAATTACACAGGTCTTCTTGGGGTTACTTTCAAACTCTGTAAGTTGCGTAAGTTTCAAATGAGAAACATATTTGCAGAACAACTGAAAATGTCAAACTGACTGCCACTTGTCACAAATTATAGAGCAATCTCTTCTACTTTTTTTTTTTTTTTTTTTTTTTTTTTTTAGGGGAGTCATATTTTAAAGAGAAACTTTGGAAGCCATTAGTTTCTTATATAGAACATGTTCTTTAACAAGAAAAATAGAATTCAAACTGTTGGTTTTGACTTGCTATTTCACATTAGAAAACTCTTCCCTTAACTTTATGCATATCATTCATAGCATTACTGAGGTTATAAAAAAACTCATCTAAGAAATTCTGGACTCTCATATCCAACAACATACTCCCCTAACAGAAGCCGTTAAATATAGACATAGACAATAGGTCTAAAACATAAGTTAGATGACAATTTCTGTAAAACTATATAGTCACCTCACATTACAGACATTTGTAATACAAAATAAATGAAACATTGCTTCAAAACATTGTGTCTACCAAATATTCACAAGGCAAAGATGATCAGGGCATAAGTGAAATTCCATCCCCAAATCTCTCTGTTCTGTGCCTGTGCTTGTAACATCTCCTGTCAGGGGCTAATCTCACGTGACAGGCCTGATCCAAAGCCATTTGAAGTCACTGGAATGTCTCTTCCTGACTTCAGGGAGCTTTGCATCCAGCCCATATAAACTTCAAGAACAATACATTTCATAGAAGGTTGTTTTAAGAGAACAATAGCTAATTATTGTTTAAGTGGAAAAGAATATTAGCTTCAAATGAAATTTACCTGCTGTGGTAGGTTCTTACTGTTAGATGTTTTGTTATTGTTTTTTTATGCGCATACCACAGATAAACCTTTCCAAAGTGAGAACATTCCATTTCCTAAATAGAAGCCAAAGAAAATCAACAGTGGTCAAATACCCCATCCCACCCCATCCCCCGCCAGGAGTAAAGCAATTTTGTATGTAGTAAGTTTAGTTTTTCTGAAGAAGTAAAAGATCACTTTCAAGGCCTCAAATTAAAGGTTTTCTTCGATGTATGTACATCAAGGACAAGACAGAACATGAGGTTTACAAAATATACTAGGCATTCCTCTAGCTACTAAACCAAAAGATAGATTTAATAAACAAATAAAGAAAACAAACAAGAAATGGTGTAAGCAAGCAGCAGGCTGACAGGAAAAGAGGTTATTTTGGGTTAGTGTTTTTGTTTTCCTTTTTTTTTTTTTTTTTTTTTTTTTTTAATAAAACCCCTGATTTTCTAGTGAATGAAGTCAATTTCAAAGCTATGGCTGACAACACCACACAAGGACCAAAGTCAGGCTGCTATTTATTGTTTAAAAGAAATAATGGAACTGTAAACCCTGAAATGGTAATTAACATAATTGTGAAAACTAGTAAAATAAAAGCCCTATTGTTGTAAAGTTTGTGGCTCTCTTCTCTAAGAAAATAACAGAAAATGATTTAGTAGTACACAACCCAATACTGATCCCATGTACTCTTGTGCCAGGAAATTTATGCTGATGAAAATTCAAATCCAAATCATGTCCACAACCACCAAGTTCCCTAAGGCAGCAGACAATAGTGTTTCCAACTTCCTCACTCACACCACAGATCGACCAACTCACTAGAGCTATTTTGGTTACTTAGAGTGGAGGTAAACAGAAACTTCCAGTTAGGCATAAGAATACCAGAATGTCCACCTTTGGAGATAGATTTCAGTGTTTCATAGTGGAAAAAAAATAATTAAATCCTTAAGAATCTTATTCATAAGACATACAAGACTGTTAATTTTGTTTATGGTTGTTAAACACGTTGAGCTGACTAATACTGACATTACTTGTTAATCATTTTCAGAAGGGTCTATGAGTTATTAGATCAAAACCAAGGTAGCTCATACCTCAAAAAGCAAAGTAAATGAGACAAAGCACAGGGGAAAAAGCAAGCAACATTTTCTCCAATATATACATGATAGCATTTCTGCCTCTTTCATCTGTGCATCCAGAACCAGCAACTAAAAATAAACAGTTTACTTTATAAAGACATCTATCCAAATTGCTTTTTACTCTATGGGGATGGATCACACATCATTATAAATTTCATTTCAGGCCAGTAAAAAATTATAGGTTTGTGTGTGTATGTGTTTTTCTAGATGAAAAAAAAAAAAAAAAAGACAATTTCTCAGGTCAAACACCATACCTTGCTTTGGTATCACAAGTATTTTGTTACAATAATACAACAACAGCACATTCTGTTTGACTCAACAATACACATTTCATTTTTTTTTTTTCATTTGTTTCTCCTTGTTGCTATTAAGTGCATTTCTGAAATGAAATACAGTCCTAAAGTAAAAAATCAAACTTTCACATAAAAAGTCAAAACAATATGCAGGCTTAAGCTTTGCATTTAATTTACATCTTTTCTTCTGACATGCACAAATTAATGAAATATTTTGTTCACTCCCAAACTACATTTTGGGTAAATAAACTATCCATTCATATATTTTGTTAAGCCTTATTTAGCCATATATTTCAGGTAACAGACTATTTGCTCTCATTGGTCTCCTACCATATTTTCTCCTCTTCCTACACAGGCAGTTGGGACACAAACTACCCACTGCTAAATATTGCTAGCTGGTATCCTGATCCCCTCGGATCTGATCTGTGCCCCTGTTACTCTATTCTTGTTGCTCACTGCTACTGCTAACACTTTCTACTTTCTTAGCCTTCTGGGGACCTGGGCTTCCAGTTGCACCCCCCCCCCCGCTGCCTCTCAGCATTCCCAGGTGCTGATAATCTTTTCCCTGTATTGTTGCTGCTCCTTCTCTTTATTTCAGCAGATGCTACAGTTTTGCAAGTTGCATGGATCTTACCTCTGAGACCCTCTTTGTTGCTCTGTCTGTGACCACGTTGGAAGCAGGCAGTGATGGATATTAGGGAAGCATGAGCCTCCCCTGGCTGTTTAGCAGCGTGGTCTGCAAAGAAAGATAGAGATGCTGCTCTCTCCTCCTCCCCCCTCGCTGTCCCAGCTTCCTCCTCCCTCCTCCCTCCTTCCCATCCACAAACTCTACTTCTGTCTGTGCTTCAACACAATACGCTACCTCTCAGCACCAGCTACCTAAGGTCAAGAATACAAACCCTTCGCCCTCCCCCCTGCCTTTTCCTCTCCAGCCTCATGCATCCTCACCCCTGCTTCCCACTGAATATGGTATCTTCCCAACTAGACGTGCCTTATTTGGCTCCAGGGTCTAAAGCGCAGACAATTTCAGCAGCCCTAGGGGAAAAAAAAAATAGAGTTATAAAACAGAAGATGCACTGGAAAGACCAGGGATATGAAGGGAAAGAGGAAATCTCCTGGAGAAACTGGAAACTTCTGGGGTTTATTTGTGTGTGAAAGAAATCTAGTCACAGTAGCCAAAGCCTGCTACTTGGAGATTAGTTTTTAAAAATCTATACAGATTAAAGAAGAGTGCCTTGGATTGCTAGTTATCTCCCAAATCCAGTTAATACACTGTTCAAGCTCTTTGTTTCCCTATCTTTATTATAAACAGCTTTTTAAAAGAAGCTTCCAAACTTTTCCCCTGCAAAGCCAGACTTAAATACCAGTATAATCTGATGATGCAATAGCCAACAATGGTGAAAGTGACCAGTAGCATTCTTTAAAGATTATGAGCTATGAAATAATCACCTTTAATCGCATGGTAAGCACAGTAATAAGCTCTGACTTTTCTGCTTGGATGAAATGTATTCAAGTGGTCTTTTTTCACTTTCAGTAGTTATGAAGACTGGAAGCACCTTTGGGAAACCAGTCCAAACTTCACCTAAAATTCCAGCTAGCCAACATTTCTTCTTAAGGACCTAATCTTAGACATCTAAAAAAAAAACAGTCCTTGAAAAGTGTTTATGTTGTTACAGAGACTATGAAGGGAGGTAGATGATGCTGAAGGCTTCTAAAAGATCTTGCCTAAAGTTAAAGTTAAAAAGTTACATGGACAGGATCTCCCTCTGGAGGCCTTGAGAGGCACCTGACTTGCTCTAGTGATGTTAGAGGATGCATTAGGCACTTCAAGAGGTCTATTTTACTGGATACCATTAAAAAAAAAAAAAAAAAAAAAAAAAAAAACACAACCCACACAGCACACTAACTGCTCTAACTGCTGCATGACTAAGGCCAGATACAACGAAGGTGTAGTAACTAGAAGTTATCTTGAAGATTTAGCTTTCTTAACCCATGTTTCTTCAATGTTGGTGGCCTCATACGGCAAACAGCAGGCATGATCCATCAGTGATCAGAAGAAAGTGGTACCACCACAATGGGGCAGAGAAACAACTGCTTGCATTCCCTGGATCATCTCACAGATAAAAGAAAGAGACTTTCTAAGGACCCTGTGCACAACACCAACATCCACCATACCAAAACAATCTACTGATCAACCTTAGTAAAATTCTTGATCAATGTGAGAAGAATCAGAACGTAGCCTTCATTCAGTGCTAGGACAAGCTAAGTAATGAGTGCAACCAATACAGATTTGATCCAGTTTGAGAATGATAACATAATGACTGAAGTGCAGGTAATTAAGGAACTGGTCTAGTTACTCCTTCATAATCATCTCAGAGTTCGCAACCTGGTTAAGTCTTTAATTTAATAACAGATAAAGTTAAAAACAAAAAAGGGGAAAAAAATGAAGCAAGAGAATCAAATGTCGCATCTGATATTTTGGTGCTATGAGGATCTCTATAAATCAACTAAATGCTTTTTTCTGGAGCATTCTGGAGGTGTCACACATCAGCACAATGTTGGAAAGTCAGAACTTTTTCCTGATGGTCAGCAAAGGAAACTTCTGAATGAAACAGGCCATTTGGAAGTAACAGATCACCAGGACCAGAGATTTTTTACCCAAATATGAAACGGTTAGACTACTATCTATAGGGCTAAGGCATGTGACCTATAGCTTAAACCAACTTCGTCACCAGAGGAATGGTAAATATGAGTGGGATACCAATGCTTGACTGATGGACTGTGACTCGGTATAGTCTCCAATGATCTGGAGAAGGAGGTGAACAATGTTGTGAAAGAGCTTGATAGATTGTACAGCACAGAATAGTGGAATGTCAGAATATTGTTTAAGATGCCCAAAACCAGACTGCAAAATGTTGCAGGTATATCTCCTAATAATGGATGATTTAAAAGGCAGATTCAATTAAGTACTAATAAATGAAAAATAATGGATGTGCAATAAAAGATCTGCCCTATAGCTCTAGCAAGCCACAGTAGCACTCAGGGAAGGAACAAGTCAGAGGCATGATGCTGACAGCACGAATAGCCTGTTGAGGTCTGGAGATCAGTTGGCCTTTGGCACCTGTCTAGGGAGAGGGGGAGGAAAGGATGGCACGAGGCTGTTCAGGCTGAAGGCAGCAGCTACCAGTGCCGATCAGGGAACTAAAGAAATGTCCAGCTCTTCAGAGTCCAGGAGCATAGCCAAGGCGTGCTAGTGGCACAGAGTGCAATCCTTTGCCCTCACAGCTAATAGCTTTCACTTTCAGTGACCTTGGCAGAGCATCAGCAAACAGCAGCAGCCACAGAACCAGGCAATCCCAAAGGGGTTGCTCTCCAGGGCAGTGGTCATGGCACCAAGCCTGCCAGAGTTCAAGAAGCGTTTGGACAATGCTCACAGAAAAATGGTGACATTTTAAGGTGGCCCTGGGTGGAACCAGGAGTTGGACTCGATGATCCTTGTGGGTCCCTTCCAACTCAGGATACTCTATGGTTCTAAGAATGATTTTTCCTCCTTGCTATCTGCTTTTGTCCAAGTTCAGTGAAGTAGCTCAGCAGAGAGAATGGAAAGATATTGCTGTCAAAGCCGCCCTTCACAACACCACTTTTTTGATGCTCTTTCCGCTCTGCTTTTGCTACATCTGGTAACAGTATGTGCATAATAGACACTTACCTACTTAGCAAAGAGGTCTTTGAGAACTGCAGACAGTTTTCTGAAAACATCAGCTAAATGTTCAGCAGTTGTCAAAAAGGCACGTACAGTGCCTTTTCTGTGAAGAACAGAGAATAAAAAAGAAAATATCAGTTTGACATTGCATTAGTCTACACCTGCAGACTTCTTGTATAATGCATGACTGTCTGGTCATCGAATCACAGGATGATTCACGTTGGAAGGGACAACAGGAGGTCTCTAGTTCAGTCACACAGTCAAAAAGGGTCAGCTATGAGATGAGACGAGGTTGCTCTGAGCTTTATCCAGTTGTCTTGGAAACCTCCAAGGAGAGAGACTACACAACCCCTTTGGGCAGCCTGTTTCACTGCTTTACTGTCCTCGTGTTAGGGGGAAAGAAAAAAAAATCCATTTTTACCTTCCTTTTTTTTCCTTTCAAATGGCACTTCTCTTCCTTTCAAATGTCATGCCATTTGAGAAAGTCTATGACAGAACAGAAAAGCAATGTAGAAGAGTGACTACAGACTCGAAATAACTTCCACATAAACAAATCACATAGGCTGAGTCTTCTGATTGCAAAACAGATAATTAGGCTGATAAAGATCCGTGAAGTTGTGAGCAATATGGAGAAAGTCAATTGGCAGGATGTTCTTCAAAGTTCTCATAAGAGAAAATTACAGAGCATCCATTGAGATGATCAGAGAGCATACCTGAAGCAAAATGATTTTGTTTTTTCAAACTAATATTTAAATCATAGTACTCACTTGTGCAGAATCTAAGAGCAGTCAAAACTATCAGAAATGAATTTGATAAACACATGAAGACCTGTCCACAAGTTCTGATGAAGGAAATCTGCAGTACATGAATTCTCCAAATTGTTCATTACGAGTGGGTACTCCAGACAAGGAACAATGCTACGCTTCTGTTTCTTAAACTCTTTCTGAAATTGGATGTTCTTACTGACCATTGTCATGGACAGAATATAAACATACTTTGGTACCACATTTTCTTAGAAAGCAAAGATTTCTGGGAAATTTCCTGTGTCTTTTTAATAAACCACAATTCTAGCAATTTATTTGTCTGGTGAGATGAAAAATCTTCACATATGTACATCAATGTTGTATCTAAAAAGAAGCAGATTAGTTCTGCAAAGATGCTAAATGTTTTAAAGCAATACACTGCATAACATTCAAAGACACAATCATAGTATTTTTTTATTATACACCTTGATATAGCCATAATATGAAGTCTTTAAATATCTGTCCTTTTCATCGACCATGGTTAGCACAAGTCTTGTACTAAAGACACTCTTAATCTCCATTGCTTCTTCACAGAACATTTTAAAATTATATGCCATTGCAAAGACATAATAAAAGGCACTGGTGTGATCCCAGATCAAAAGTATTCTAGTTCTCTGTGGAGTTCAATTAGCAAATAAATAGTGTTTTCCCTCAAGTCTGCCTGTTTCTTTCAACTTCCAGTGACAGGCCACCAAACCAAGTTCTTAGCTTCATTAGAACAGCTAGGTTATGAACTCCAGAAGCAAAAGGCAGCGACTGCCAGTCGAACTTAAACAGCAGAATCATGTTTTTGGCAGAAATGCAGGTTTCTGAGCAAAGCCTACAGACCTGTGGAAAAGCCCGGGGGTTGTCATGGCAGCTATGAAATCCCAAGCTAGTCCAGAAGCCTCATTCTCTGTATGATCAGAGTTACTGCCTGCATTACACATCCAAAACCAAACAGGAGCTGGATCACTCCACCTAAGGCATCAATAGAGGATTCCAGTAGAGGATTTCAATTCAGATGTAACCACTAGGCCTCTATGTTCTCCTGCTTTATGGAAAACATACAGAAGTTTTTTTCTAAAAGTTTACAGAAACATTATCATTAAAACGTTCAAACAAAAGGGAAGTCTGCCTTCAAAAATCCACTTTCTGATAGAAGTCAATATGTATTTTGCATTATTGATCATAAGACATCATTTTAGCTGCCCGCTAACTATTTTTTAATTTGGGTCTTCAGTCTTCTTAAGCCTCTCAATAAAATAGCAGGAAAATTCTCTATCACTTATGTTACAAGCATGACCCAAAGTAATACTTAAATAAGCACT